GAACACCAGAAAAGCAGCATCAGGAATCAGGCATCCCTTTCTGACTGAAGCACTTCACACTCCTTCAGCGATACAACACCTCCTGGCCCAGGCACTGGCACATGCCAGCGGGTTCCATGTGCCCCTGTGCCAGGGAAGGACTGCCCAGCACCGAATGCGGCTGAAGAACAGCAACTCAGACAACGTGGGCATTTCACCTTCTGTGGCCTTCATCAGCAAGTGTGAGCAAGCTCTGTATCCTAAAGAGGGCTCAACAGCCTCCAGCAGGCTCTGTATGGCACGGTGAGGATGCAAATTTCAACTGAAAGGAGCTGTGTGTTGTGCACGGCTCAGAGTCTGAGCAAGGAGCTGAGCTCTGCTCTGGGGAGCACACCCAGGGACTTGTGTGCACAGAAAGCAAAGGCTGCCTGGACTGGCTGCAGAAATGTACTTTACAGCAAGGAATGGGACCCCCAACCCAATCACCCCGTGCTCCGTTTGACAGCTGCACTACAGACTAGAGAGAAGAGGGGAGCCGTTCCATGGTGCCTAGGCAGAGATGTCAGAGGTGGAATCTCCGCAAGGGAAGCGGATCTCGTGGGCAAGGCTAGGCCCGTTGGGTTCCTTTCCAAAATCCACCAGGAAGTTCTTGTTCACCGTCAGGCCTCCCTTCTCTGTGTCCACATCGATCTGCAGCATGACAGAGCCTTCCCTGCGAGGGGCGATGGAGCAGCATTGCAGACAAGAGCAGCGCTGCGTGATCTTTCCATTCCCACCCACGAGGGATCACCCAGAAGGGCCCCTTTCCTCCCAGAGGTTCCTTACTTGACCACGTTCGGGTAGAACTGCTTGTCCCAAGTGCTGTAGAAGGAGTTGGTGACGTACAGCCTCTTGCCATCCACGCTGAGCTGGATCTTAGCAGGGCCGCCGTACACCCTCTTGCACTGGAGGCACAACAGAGAGCAGTGGCGTTGCTGGCTCCTTTCTTTCAGCAGATGAGCAAAAGCAGGAGCAGCAAAAGAGAGAGCAGAGCAGAGCCCAAGTGCAGAGGACGCCGTGGGGCAGAGCCTGCAGAACTCACCTTGATCACCAAGGGCTCCGGCTGGCACTTCAGCTCTTCATCTCTGCACACCGTCACGGGTCCGCCTCGCAGGATGCTGCCTCCCACAAACACCTGCAGGCAAGGCAAGGAGACACGTGGCTTGGCACCTAACCACCACCACCCACTGCCACAGAACTACCAGTGCAGCCTCCTGCCCCTGCCTCACCTGTCCCACCAGCCGAGGCTTGCAGTTCCTGGAGATCTCGTACTGGCGGATGTCCCCGTGCAGCCAGTTGCAGACGTACAGGTACTTGTCATCCAGGGAAATGACCAGGTCGCTGGGGAAGGCTGGGAGGGCAGAGAAGAAGGAGCCGTGGGTGAGGCAGCATCCCCAGAAGACATCCTGCACAGCTCAACGTGCCGGGAGGAAATGGGGAGCAGCACGGAGGGCTCACCTGGCATCTTGGGCAAAATCCATCCTGACACGTCCTTGGCTGGTATCTGGATGGCCTCCTCCACTGCCCAGCTGTCTCTCTGTACAAGAAACGCGTGGTTGATACCTGCAGCAAGTCTGGGGCTCCTTGCTCCCAGCTCCCAGCCCTCCATCGGGGCACTCTCAGCCGGTCCCAGAGCCGGGGCCCCAGGGCTGCAGGCCCAGCACTTGCCTCGCACTTGTAGAAGCGGTAGATGATGCCGCTCAGGGCGCAGCTGACGTAGCCCTCGGCAGCATCGGGATTGTGGAGGAACCTCACGCTCAGGGGCAGGGAATCCTCCCCCAGGTCAAAGCACTGCGTGAGGGTACGGCAGGACAGATTCCACACGTTCAGGCGGCGCCCGAAGACCCCTGAGGAGGAGGAGGAGGAGAAGTGAGTCAGGGGGGGAGGGCAGCCCTGGAGATGGGTGAACCTGCACACACTCCGCCTGTCCCCTGTCTCCAGCTGCCACCCATACTGTGAGTTTGTCTGCA